AGCCAGACCCCGGCTCTGTGAAGTAATACATGTCCACTGCTGAGGACCAAAAGACTCTGGCGGCTTAGTCTAGAGGGAGCCGAGCTGGCCAACTAACTCTCGGGCAGTTTGAATGCGCAGCAGCTCCATGAAGATGGACAATCTCCTCTCGTGCCATTTCCAGCCTCTGGCAGGTCAGCCATGGGTTCGTTGTGACTTGACAGCAATGCTGTTGTTAGGTGCCATCGAGTCAACTATGAATCATAGTGACCATATCAAGCCCAGAGCTGAGCCCCACCCTATGCCTGCTCTGTCCTCTCTATCCCTGAATTATCCAAGCCCGTGGCCACAGTCACCATTTTGATCCGTCTTGTTTGGGATCTTCCTCTCTTTTACTTACCCTCCATCTTTCTAAGCATAACGTCTTTTTCCAAGGACGGGCCTCTCCTAAGAACATGCCCAAAATAGGAGACGAAGTTTCATCCTCCTTGGCTCTAAGGAGCATGCTGGTTACACTTTCCCCAAGATGTAACTGTTCTTCAGCTCTCTTCTCCAGAACCATAGCTCAGAGGCATAGGTTCTCCTTCTTCTGCCATCCTTACTCATTGGCCAACTTTCAGAGGCATAGGTGGTTGTGGTGGTTGTTATGTGCCATCGGGTGGGAACCAACACATAGCTGACCCTCCAGTGGATTTTCAGAGACAGTTAATCACATAGGAGGAAATTGCCCATTTTTCTTCTGTAGATGAAGAGGAAGTAACTAAAAAGACTGTGGAGCTCTGGTTGCCTAGTGGTTAGACTCTGCGTTGCAATCCCAAAGGCATGCGGTTCAAAGCCCCCAGCTGCTCTGCAGGAGACAGATGAGTAGTCCCCTCCTGTGCAATTAACTGCCCCTGAAAACCCACTGGATGGTCAGCTATGGGGCGGTTCCAACTCGACGGTACACAGCAACAACAACGACGGCTTGAGTTGGGCTCACCTTAGCTTTAAACTCATGCTGCTGCTCCATAGCACCTTGGAGAAGTCATTGACAGCCGATTTCCCCGATGCAATATCTACCTCGTTTTATTTCTTAACTGCTGGCACAAAGGGTTTCTGATTGTGGGTCTGGGTCCAAGTAAGATGAAATCATTAACAACTTCAATCCTCTCTCCACCTATCACGATGGCCCAGAAAGATAGAGACAAATAAAACAAGCAGAAAACCCTCCGACTCCTTGTCTGTGATCCACACGCCCAGCAAACCTGAAGCCTGAGCATGGAATCCTCTGATTCTCCTGAAGTCCCCATCTGGACTGAGCAGAGAAAGTTGACCTAGAGTGAGCTCTCAAACTAAGGACAAGATCACGACCTGGAGGCGTCTGTAGAGTGGACGGAGTCACGGCAGGCAGTGTAGAAGAGGTTACAATGAACCGGGCTTGCAGGATGGTAGGGATGCAGCAGATAGAACCCAGGACGGCGGCACGGAGAGAGAAGACCCTGGGGTGGTCAGGGGCGAAAAGTCTGTTAAGCTCGTTACACCCACAGCTCCTGCGCCATGACATTCCACTCTTTCCTCACGGGTGCTTGCCTGGAGAAACCACGGCCAGGTTCAGACGTGGTGTTCTCTACTCCCAACATGTTCCTGAGGGCTTCATGGAAACCCTACACCTGCCCAGACCACCTACCCAGACCTTTATCCATTGCCACCAGTTTGATGCCTGCTCACAGCGACCCCGTGCGTTGCAGAGTAGAATTGCACGTCCATTCAGTTGTGTTGACAGAAGATTTCCTTTCACAGCGGACATTCCCTGGAAGAACGTGCAGAAGGAAGCAGGCCTGGTGATCTGTTTCTGCAAAGATTACAGCCTCCTCTCTGCCACCAAAAGAAGTCTCTATGGAGCAGTTCTACTCTGCGTCACATGGGATTGCTATGTGTTGGACTAACAACACTTGACCACAGCAAATCACCAGGCCTTTCTTCAGCAGCACTGCAGGTGGCCTGGAACTGCCAACTCTTCAGGTAATAGCCCAGAGCAGACCATGTGCACCACCCAGGAACATTAGTAGCTGCAAGACCTAGTCACTCAGCTGAGGCTCAGTTTCCTCCTCTGTAAATCCAGGGTAATAATAGGGCTCCTTCATAGGGTTGCTCTACAGCAAGTATCTACGGGCTAACTTTCTAGTCCTTGATGTGGATGATGTCACCATGCTTGAAACCTCCCTGGCCTTTCCCCCTTCTTCTCAGCCCCTTTGTTCTTCTTTGGTACTTGCCTCGTGGAGACCCCTTCAGCCCAGCCTCAGGCTCTTTCATCCTCTCCAGCCTCCTCCCAGTTCCTTTGCCACTGTGTCTGAGTGGTAGGTTGGGGGTGGGTTGGTTTGGGGCGTGTCCCTGTGGGTGGGGATGCTCTGGGCAGAGATGCAGGAGATGTCCACTATGAAGTGATCCAAAGAAGTACAGGAAAAGTTTCCGGGGTGATCTCGGAGGGAAAATTATGTGCCTACTAGTTCAACCTGAGGAAGAAAACAGAAGAAGAGAGCTCCACTGTGTAAGAAAGGGAGAGGTTGAGGGAAGATCCCCGTGGCTTTGGTAGCCAGGAGGAACTGGAGACAGTGTCAGTTGGAGGGTCCTGGAGGGCCTGCCAGGAGGAGCAGGCAAAGGAGAGGACAGGTGAGACGCCTCAACCTGGTGGCCTCGATCTTCTGAGGCCCCAGAAAGCGGATTACCCCACAAAGCCCCTGGAGCTGACTTTCCAAATCCCCAATAGTGCTTCTCTGTCACAGTGAGGGTTAACCCCTCTTACATAAGGACCCTTAACTCCATGATCCTTCCGGGAGCTTCCTACAGGCTCTTCCTGCTCTGAGCAACCCCCACACGAGGCTCACCCTAGAGGTGAGCTTAAGTCCGCCGAGGTCACCAAGACTTTCTGCAGAGGCCAGGTGAGGGGAGTGGAGAGGGATGAGAGAACAGGGCAGGAAAAGAGAGGCGGGGGGAGGGCTTAGTGGTAAGGAGTTGCACTGCCAACCTGAAGGGATGCAGTTCAACCATCAGAGAGAGGAGGATGGGCAGTCTCCTCCTGTGAGATTTACTGCCTCTGCAAAGCCACTGGAGGGTCAGCTATGAGGAGGCACCAGCTAGAAGGTACACAACGACAACAACACTGTTCTTAACCTGGTGGCACAGAGGCTGAGAGCTCAGCTCCTGTCCAAGGGGTTTGAAGCCACCAGCTGCTCTTTGGGGCAAAGATGGGGCATTCTGTTTCCATAGAGATTTACCTCCTCAGAAGCCCTGTGCACAGGTCGGCCCCGTCCTGTGGGGTCACTGTAAGTCTGAATCTACTCTACTGGTTGGTTTGGGGTTTTCTTTACTGTAGTTTCTCTGTGATCTTCTTACACCCTTGAGATGCCATGATGCTAACACACCGTCATTTACATGCACTTATTTGGGACTAAAGCACCTCTCATGAATTATTTCACTTTTCCCAACAACATATGAGGTGGGTAATTTATTTTCTTCCCCCCTTAGATGGCTTAAAAAAACAAACAAAACAAACCCAAACACACCTGTGATGTGATTTGAATCAAAGTTTAAAAGCATATTGGGATTTTTTTCCCCAGTCATTCATGTTCATTTTGTTCCATAACGTTGATTACAAAACCCACAGTGTCTGATCATCCATTTATACCATACTATCTTTCCCTTCATCCATATTAATACGTATTCATTATTTATTCCTTTATTTCTTCCTCCTCTCCGTTCTCTTCCTAGTACCCAAGGCAGTGCGATGTTTCTCTCTGTGTAAACCTCTCTTGAGCTTTTTATAATCATGGTGTTAGATGCTGTTGTCATCACCTTTTAACAAATGGAAACTGAATTTCAGATGAATTATGACTGGGGTGAGGGAGGAGGGGTTTGCTTCATGAGTCCATGTCTATTCTCTCCACTCTCCCTGCTTGATTAAAGCAGTTGGAGGCCTCTGCTGACCTCACCTCCCCTCAGAACAGGGGAAACCTGGGAGTCTGCTAGCAGGAGGAAGCGGGCACTGAGGGCCTTTAGTCCGCCTCAGGGGGCCACCCCCCCACCCCATCCCATGTTGCACGTCAGATAGAAACCCAAGCCTCCAAAGCCAGGCTGCAGGTCAATCTCAGACTTCACTCCCACATGTGATAGGAGCCCCCCTCTGGACATGCAACCCCAAAACTAAACCTATACCATTGCCATGCAGTAGATTCCCGCTTACAGCAAGCCTGTAGGATACAGAAGAATTTTCCCATAGTGTTGCCAAGGCTACCATCTCACTTAAACCTCATCTCTCTCCCACGGACCTTTTGATTCGCTGTTGAATGCTTTAATCACAGTGCCACTCAAATTCTTATCAAGTGTTTAGGTGAAAACCCATTGAGCTGAGTCAGGACAAGTACCCAAAGTGAGTGCTCCCTCTCATCTGGAAGCCTTACACACACACACACACACACACACACACACACACACACACACACACTGACCCCACACTCTTGTCCTTGGACTCACGCAAAACAACAGAAAAAAGATTAAAGCTCTTTGGAGAGTGAAGTCCGCACCTCCCTTCAAGGTTTGGCACTGAATGTCCAGTAGCTGACGGCAAGCTCCCAAGGTTCCCACGGGCCCGGGCACTGGGGGAAATGGGAACCGGTGCAGGGCAGCAGGCCTGACCAGCTGAACGGGGGCACCTTGGTGACGCTGCAGGTGTGGCTGGTTGATCCCCTGTGGAGACAGTAAAGATTAAGAGGATCATAAACTGCGTTCGGCCGGCTGCCCTGGGAGAAATCTTCCACAGCCAGAGCTGCTGCAGTGAGGGACCTGGGTTCAGACAGAGAGAGGACAGGGGTAGAGACCAGGAGAAAAAGAGAGATTGAGGAAAGGTAGGGGGAAGGAACACAGAGGCAGAGAGTGATAGCTGGGTCCAGGGGTAAGTGGAGGGAGAGACAGGACACAGAGAGAGGGGAGAGAGCAGCAGAGCCTGAATTCAGCTCAGGGGACTGGGAGGCAGGCCCAGCTCCAGGCCAATAGCTCCCATGAGTGCCAACGTAGCTGTCACTGCGCCTGCAGCTGTGGCTGCCTCCAGGAAGGAATCCCCAGGCAGGTGGGGTCTGGGTGAGGATCTAACAGGTATGGCTCATCGAGGAGGTGAAGTCTGAGCCCTTGGGGAGCAGGGTGTGAGCCAGAGAGTCAGGTTTAGCCCCTAAGGCTGTGGGAAGTGCCAGCAGAGGGTGAGCTGGCAGCCCTGGAACTTAGGGGCCATCAGAGCCAGAATGGACAGCTGAGCTCCCAGGAATGGATGAACAGAGGACTTAACAGCAAAGCAATGCCCAGAGAGGTGGAAAGTGTGTGGGAGGGTGAAGGCTGATGTCACCGGCAGGGAGAAGGAAGGGGCAGGGGAAAGGGAGGCAGTGATCATGCTGGAACTCGGCCATGGCCTAGGAGGGTGAGGGCAGCAGCAGGCAGAGGGATGAGCTTTGCTGGGCGGCAGGGGTTGGGTGTGCTGCCCTGAGTGTGTCACAAACCTGTGGGCAGGGAAAGGGACACAGGGGGCTGCTGTGGAGAGGAGGGTGGTGCGATCCCTCCAGCCTGGTGGCCTGTCCACCTGTGCAGGCGCTGGCCCGTCGCTCCAGTGCCGCGTGTGTGGGGACAGCAGCAGCGGGAAGCACTATGGCATCTACGCCTGCAACGGCTGCAGCGGCTTCTTCAAGAGGAGCGTGCGGCGGAGGCTCATCTACAGGTGAGGGGCAGAGCAGAGGGGGCTCATGTACAGGTGAGGGGGGTCATCTACAGGTGAGGGGCAGAGAGGCAGGGGCTCGTGTACAGGTGAGGGGGGTCATCTACAGGTGAGGGGCAGAGAGGCAGGGGCTCGTGTACAGGTGAGGGGACACAGTGATGGACCTCATCTACAGGTGGAAGCTAATGTACAGTGGAGGGGGCTCACGTACAGGTGAGGAGGCAGAATGGGGGAGCCTCATCACAGGTGAGGGGGCACAGTGATGGAGTCTCATCCACAGGTGAGGAGCAGAGCGATGAAGCCTCATCTCCAGGACAGGACTCTGCCGAGGGAACGATGGAGGAGGTCAGAGTAAAGGTCCAAGGCTGTGGGTCCCCCACCAGCACTAACCCCTGGTGTGGGGATCCCCTTCTTCTACAGGTGCCAGGTGGGTGCAGGCATGTGCCCGGTGGACAAGGCCCACCGCAACCAGTGTCAGGCGTGCCGGCTGAAGAAGTGCTTGCAGGCTGGCATGAACCAAGACGGTGAGTTTTGGGGTCCGGGCCTGGCAGGGAGGGAGCGTGCAGCGAGGTTTGCTGACCGTCCATCTCCCCAGCCGTGCAGAATGAGCGCCAGCCCCGGAGCACAGCCCAGGTCCGCCTGGAGCCCAGCACCGAGTCCCGGCCCGAGGCCCTGGTGGTGCCCCCTCCAGCAGGGCCCAGCCCTCGAGGGCCCACACCCGTGTCTGCAGCGAGAGCCCTGGGGCCAGGCACGCTCACACCTCCCGGCCACCACCACTTCATGGCCAGCCTCATAACCGCAGAAACCTGCGCTAAGCTGGAGCCGGAAGACGGTACGTGGAAGCAGGAAATGCACTAACTCTGCATCCCTGTTCTCCAGGCCACGGTGGAGCCCGCTACCCTGACTCCCAGCCCCACCCGACCCCAGGGCCTGCAGAGCAGGGGCCCATGTCTCCCCTCCTCCCCCACAGCTGACGAGCACATCGATGTCACCAGCAATGAACCCGAGCTGCCCTTGTCCCCATACTCCTCCCAGCCATGCAGCCTGGACAGCATCCACGAGACCTCAGCGCGCCTCCTCTTCATGGCGGTCAAGTGGGCCAAGAACCTGCCAGTGTTTTCCAACCTGCCCTTCAGGGACCAGGTACGCGCTGCTGTGGGGCCGGGAGAGGACGGGGCACAGATCCCCATGACGGTGATGATCGGACATGTCCCTGAGTCAGGGATGGTCAGGGCTACTTGTCTCAGGGAGTTCATCTCTCTCTCTCTCTCTGGTACTAGTAATCATTGTTGGGCTACTTGGACCAGGCATTTGAAGACAGTGCCTCTGGCTTCCCCATCCTGGGATCATTGTTTCTTAGACAAACCCCCATGTCTTGAGTGTGAACCCCAGTGGTAGACTCTGGGGTCCCTTGACCTCTGCCTCCAGGACTCGAGTTTCGGTTCACCCTCTTCACCTCTCGAATGCCCTCTGACAGGGGAGCAGAGGTCTGGGCCCTCAGCCAGAGTCAGGGTTTGATTGAATGAGTCACTCTGACTGCTCGAGGGCACTCACCAGAGGATGCTCTGGGGGAGTGTGCCTGTGGCCTCCCAACCACCAGGGCTTCTTTCCAGGTCTACCAAGTCTGCTCTGACCCATGGCGACCCCAGGTGGGTCAGAGTACAACTGCACTCTAGGGGCTAATTTCTTCACAACTGCATTGCCAGACCTTTCTTCTGAGGTATCTCTGGGCCTACTCAAGCCTCCAGTCTTTCAGTTAGTGGCCAAGTGTGCAAACCATTTGCATCACTCTGCTGTTAGCTGCTGTTAAGTCAGCTCTGACTCACAACGACCCCATGTATCGCAGCGCAGGACTGCTCCATAGGGTTGTCTTTGCTCTAATCATTGTAAAAGTGGTTGGCCACGCCTTTCTTCCACGGCACCACTCATCAAGCTTTCCTAGATATTCCAGTTGCTGCTCTGAATGGTATTCAGAAGCTGATACCAATATGAGATAGACTGATACCAATTCCCTGCGTTCTGGGCTGAGGGGGATTGGCGGTCCAGGGCAGGGAGGATGTAGAATCACAGGTCAAGAGAAAGTTCTGGACACCCAGGAAGTCCTTCTGTTCCCAGGGTTGGGGGCACTCCAGGGGTTCCCAGCTGAGTGGAAGGAGTGCTCCTGTCTGAGTGCATCCTCTCTGAGCACAGGTGATCCTGCTGGAGGAAGCATGGAGTGAGCTGTTCCTCCTGGGAGCCATACAATGGTCCCTGCCCCTGGACAGCTGCCCTCTGCTGGCCCCACCCGAGGCCCCCTCTGCCGGCAGCTCTCAGGGCCAGATCAAGCTGGCTAGTGTGGAGATTCACATCCTACAGGAAACCATCTCCCGGTTCCGGGCCCTGGCGGTAGACCCAACGGAGTTTGCCTGCATGAAGGCCCTGGTCCTCTTCAAGCCGGGTAGCTGCACCTTTGGAGAAATGGCTGGGGAGGGAGGATGGGAATGCCAGTGTCCCCCTCTGTCTTCTCTCGGTCTCTTACCCTAAAGGTGCACTGCTCCCCAGGGAGTAGGGGGCAGGACAGGAGAGGAGCAGGCTGGGCTGGTTCCTCCTGGGGGTCTGGGCTGAGTGTCAGGCTGAGGGGCAGGACGGGTGGGAGACAACCTCACTGGTGCTGCTTCCCTGCAGAGACGCGGGGCCTCAAAGATCCTGAGCACGTGGAGGCGTTGCAGGACCAGTCGCAAGTGATGCTGAACCAGCACAGCAAGGCCCACCACCCCAGCCAGCCTGTGAGGTGACTGAGCACCTGCCCACCGTTCCCAGCCCCCCTGCGCGCCTCTCTGAGGCACTCTCTGGCCTCCACTCCCTGGACAAGACAAAAGGCCTCACTTCTCCCACACATACCCAGTGCCTGTGTGCCAGCCCCTGGGAGCAGGGAGTCAGCGTCCTGAGATGCAGGTTGCAGCCTTTCAGGACTTCCAGCCCAATGACAAGCTCTGTGCCGTGTAGGTGTCAAGTGTTGCACGTGTCTGAGACAGAAACGCTGGGGGTGAGGGTGTAGAAGAGAACTGAGCAGCACTCTGTGGAGGCAGAGCTGGACCAGGAAGGAAGGGTAAACGTAAAAGGAAGAGAAGGCATCATTTACAAAGGCTGAGAGAGAGATGAGCATGATGCATTCTTAGGGAGAAAGTCAGTGAGCAGATGACCATGACTGACCAGCGGGCACTGGGGAGCCACTGCAGGTGTGTGAGCAGGAGCATGGCATGCACAGGACTGGACTCCACGCACAGCGGGAGGCAGTGAGTACAGAGCACGGTATTAGGGAAGGGCCACAGCACTGCCGTCACCCAGGGCATTCCATGGAGTTTAGGTATTTGAGAGTGGCCGTAGGGAGTGGAGAGAATGTGACAGACACAGAAGATTTTAGGAACTGGAGTGACACTTGGTGGGCAGGAAGGAACACAGAAAGAAGAGTCAATTGGGAGAAACGGATATTAAAAAGTATAAGCAGGAAAAGCTAGCTTTTGAGAGAGGATGAAAAGGTCAGTTGGGGTGCCCTGCAGCAAACCATCTGCAGTAGCCTTAACATGGCCAGCAGCTGGTTCTGGGTGCACTTGAGGGAGTGGGGTAGGGAACAGTGGAGGTGGGACAGTAGGGACAGGGGGAAGCCAGAGCTCTGGGAACCCCTCGCCTGGCCCGGCACCAGCAAGTACAAGCCTGAGTAGCTGGCCTCTATTAGGAGCTGCTCTTTCTGAAGACATATAGTATTAATAAGTGCATCTTCTTTTTACTGCTAATCTGAGGAAATTATACTAGGAGAAGAAGCAATTGTTCTTTAAGATTCAAAGTATACAAAGTCAATCCCACACTGCACGGAATGCTTTCCTGCTGCTTCAGTGGGAAGGACACACAGCCGCTGCTAGGAGACTGTCAAGCCTCGTAAATGTGGTCATCAAAGCGGAGGGCAGAGGGCACCACTGGGGAGGTAGGAGGCGAGGACAACACCCACTGCCACAGCCCCAAGGATGACACTGAAATGACCCCTGGGTCCTCAGTGGCGGGGGGGCCTACCTCACAGGCGGAGGGTCTGCCAAGGCATTCTCAGGGTTGTCACCTGTCAGCTAGTGCAGCAAGGAGCTCCCACCCTCCTCTTCACCAAACTGATGGTCCAGGCTGAGGGAGCTGCAAAGCAGAGGGAAGAGTCTCTACTTTGGTTGCAAGGAATCACGGGTGGACTGGAGAGGGCAGGACCGCTCAGTGAAGCCTGGGCCCTGGGCATGAGGACCAGCTGGGACAGGGCCAGGCGACTCCATCCACTGAGGGCAGGGACTTGCCTGCTAGCCAGATCCACTGGGTGGATGACAAGTGGCCAAATCTACTCTACTCGCTAGGAGTAGGAATAACCTTGATTGGCAGTGGTTTTAGTGGGTCGATAAGCAAGATTAAGCAATCAGCTGTCAAAGGTTTCCATGGAGGAGACCAAAACCAGCCATGGACTTGGGATCCAGCAGGTTTTCAGAGGCAGTAAACTGCACAGGAGGAGAAAGCTCATTTTTCTCCTACGGAGCAATTAAAGGATTTGAACTCCATACCTTTGGGTTAGCAATACAATTTCTTACCACTAAGCCGCCAGAGCTCCCCAAAGAAGAGAACTCAAGAAGGGTCAGGGTAAGTGGGAGCAAGCCTGTGGTGACTGGAGTCTACCCCTTCCCTGGTCTCCCCTTCCTCACCAGGGACTAGGGGCTGGGCAGCGATAATAAACCACACTCACGGTGTCCTCTCTCCTGCTCAGGTTTGGGAAATTGCTCCTGCTCCTCCCATCACTGAGGTTTATCACTTCAGAACGCATTGAACTCCTCTTCTTCCGCAAAACCATAGGGAACACCCCAATGGAGAAGCTCCTTTGTGACATGTTCAAAAACTGATGAAAGGAAAGAAATGTGGAGGTTTGTCTCAGTGCATTAAAGCTGATCATATGACTGCTCTGTAATCCAGCAGCTCCACCTGCAGCTGTATCCAGCAGTGGGGAGGTGGGGTTTCTCGAGTGTGTGGGGGTCCCTCAGTGTGGGGAAAGTCCACATAGCCCCACAAGAGCAAAGGGAGTCACTGGGGAGGGAAGAATAAAGGAGAAACTAGGGTAACTACTGCAACACCAACAATCCTGCAACCACAGCATTAGCAAGTAATGCACAAATAGACACACAGGCTAAAAAGAAGTGTGGGATGGTTCATACCCACCTGCAGATAGAGCTTTGGCTGTGGATACTTAATAGTGTGTACACACACACACACACACACACACACACACACACACACAACTGTAGGTGCTGCACCTATATTAGTACAAGCAGTAGGGCACACAGGGTCACAGTCATGGAAATGTCCGGGACATATCCTCGTGGAACAAAGTTTCTAGTCTGGAAAGTGAAGGGTTATAGGTGTGGGGGGACATCTACGTCAACTGGCACAACTTAGATCATAAAGACAATGATCTGCTATTTTAGTGAGTAGCGTCGGGAGTCTTAAGATCTTTCGAGTGACCATCTAAGATAGTCAGCTAGCATCAATATCCTTCTTTGTAAGGGCTTGTCTTCTCACAGATTTGAGAGGTCAGAAAGAGAAGCTTCTCACAGGAGACTCAGCCAACCACGCAACTCATTGCTCATCAAGTTGGAACAGAACAGACTGGTAGCTGATCCTCCAACAGGTTTTCAGAGGCTGTACATTGAATGGGATGGAGATTGCCTATCTTTCTCCCAGAGAGCTGGCAGTGGATTCAAACCAATAGAGAAGCACTGCTTTTGGGTTAAGAGTGCAACTCCTTACAGACTAGGCCAGTCGAGCTGCCTTCACAGGAGGCAGCTGCTGTCGCCAAGTGTGTGGGGAGCCGGAAATACCACGGCCGCTTCCTGCCGGCTCCTAGAACTGTGGCTGCTTCCTTCCCAGTGAGCCTGGAACTTTAGCCTGAGGCCTGTTTTGTCTTTCTCGGGAACTTTTCCAACCTTTGCTCCACCAGATCTTTCAGTGTTTATAAGAACCCCTAATTCTTGTATTAAACTCTGACCTGAAACCTACAGAACGACTTCTAATATTTTCCAAATACTGTGTAGCTCTCAGTTGATACTCTGGGTTTATTCAACTTTTCATTGTAAACTGGCCCCACTGAAATTCTCATGGGCAAGGCTTTCTATTCAGTGCATTTAGAGCACTTGCTAGTTGAAGGGCTAAAAAGCTCTTTTGTACCCTCAGTTCTGTTGTTGTTGTTGTTGTTGTTGTTAAGTGCCGTCGAGTCTTAGGCGACTCATAGCGACCCTATGAAGGAGAGTCCTTGACGCTTGGGTGCCTTTCATCCTCTCTCCAGATTCATAGGGTTTCTGGAGACAAGCTATTATGGAAGTGGATGCACTCAGTGTATTTTCTTACGAAGCTTGACAGAGGCAGTCCCTCTGGGCTTATATGAGCTTTACTTTTCAACTAGATTGGCAGTTTTCAAAGATTAGTGTTCCACTTGCTGCCTTATCTCACCCCTAAGGAAGTATTTAAAGGAACAAAGGACGGGAAAGACACAAAAATACACACACATGCCCCCCCCCCCTCCAAATACAACCAAAACCCTGCATTGCTGGTTCTGGGGCTGTGGGATCATAGTCGCAGAAGACATCAAGGTCAGCTGGCATAACAGTCCACAGTGTTCTACATTTTGCTGTGTTGAGTAACAGCTGGGGTCTTAAAACCTTGGGATCAGTCATTTAAGGTAGAACTATTGGTCTCTCACTATCCAGAACAAAGAAAAACAAAGCGAAGTGAAGACGTAGAGAAACAATTAGTCCAAGAACTAGTGGATGACACAGACCTCAATTTCCATGACTCTGAGGCCAGAAGAAATAGATGGTGCCCAGCTACCACCTCTGACCATATTGAAAGGGTGGGTTTTCAGAGTCAGCACAGGAGGAAATTGCCCATCCTTCTCCCTCAGAGCAGCTGGGAGATTAGAACCACATACCTTTGGATTGCAGCGCAGCTTCTTACCTCTAGGTCACCAGAGTTCCAATAGAGACCTGTACAAACTCTAAGGCTGTCCTTAGTTATCCTTCAAATCTAGTACAAAGCTTATACCATGGCTCAAATTTCAGGCCAATAAGGTGGCCAGTAACACCAGGAAGATACCCACGCCTAAGAATAATCAACTATATGAAATCAAGAGAACATGATTTGCCCAAAGATAAAGCCCAGAGAGCAGGAAGGGGTAAAACAGAAGGATTAATGGAAATGAAAAGCATCAGAACTGACTCCCAGACATCACATCACTGCTCTTTCCACTCAAATGCAAGTTTCCAAGGGCACAGTCATTGCTTATTTCAACGATGTACTCTAAACACTTAGAACAACATCCTGGGTGCATAATAAGTGTTTGCGGAATGAATGGATGAATGACAACACAGAAGTGACACACTCATTTACTGTAAGTCAGAGACACTCTTATCAAACCACTAGTCTTTTTCATCTAGCTCTATAAAGGAGTTAGAATTAATGTTTTTCTTTGCATTTGAATTCTATCTTTAGGTTGTGAAAAGCTAGTTTTAATGTGGTTTTACAGAGCTCTGATAGCCTAGTGGTAAGAAGCTGCACTGCAATCGTGAAGGCACATAGTTCAAATCTCCCACAGGACAAGGATGGGCAATCTCCTCCCGTGTGATTAACTGCTTCTGAAAACCCACTGGAAGGTCAGCTATGAGTTGGTTCTAACTAGTCACTACACAACAACTATTTTCAAGGACCCCTCTTGGCACAGTGGTTAAGCTAACAGAAAAGTTAGTGAGGTTCCCACCAGCCACACCAGCAGTCTGCTTCTGTAAAAATTTACAGCATTATTATCCCATGGCTTCCTTTGAATCTAGCTTGAATTTCTGGCAGTTCCATGTTAATGTATTATTCAAGCCACTTTTTTTGTTTGCTTTAAAAAAAATGTATTTTGGTTTGGGTACAAAATTTATATACATTGTGTTTATGCATTCCTTCATTCATATTGTGTTTCATACAATCATTCCCATACATTGTGTCATATGAAATTAATCATCATTGATTTATGCCTACTATTATCCCATCTTTCCAGGTCCTCAATGGATCTTTCCTAATTCCTTCACTCTCTTCCTCCACCCACCAAACTGTGTGACTCCGTGATTTCTCCTCCCCCCTTAGCCATCCTGCCCATTCCTCTACCCCCTTCAGATTTTTATACACATCTTGCTAGTTACCATTCAATTTTTACAATAATGGTTTTATATAGTATTTGTCCTTATGAGACTGAGTTCACTCAGCAAAATGCTCTCTAGCCTCTCTCATGTTACACAGAATTTTTTTTAAATGTTGCTCCTGAGTGATGCATACTATTCCACTCCAAGGCAGTTTGGTGTTTCCTTAAAAAGTTGGACATAGACATTTCATATGACCCAGCTAGCTAGCTATTACATTGTTAGGAATATACTCCAAGGACATTAGAACAGAGACACAAAAGGAGATTTCATACCGATGAAATTTCATACACCGATGTTTATAGCAGTGTTATTCACAATCGCAAGATCATGGAAACAGCCCAAATGTCCGACAACAAACAAATGGATTGAGAAACTGTAGTACATTCATATGATGGAATACTATGCAGCACTCATGAGCAACAATTTAGAAAAATACTACATAACATGGGAAAGACTGGAGAGCATTATGCTGAGTGAACTAACTCAGACTTATAAGGACAAATACTGCATAAGACTATTATTGTAAAAATAGACGAATATCTAGCATAATATGTATGACGGTCCAAGGAGGGAAGGAGAAAGGCAAGAGGGCTGAGGGTGGGTGAGGGGGAAATCACAGGGCCTTAGAATTTTGTGGGAGGTGTGAGGGGGTGAAAGAACTGGGAAAGATCCAGCAGGGATCTGAAAAGACAGGATAATAGTGAGCATAGATCAATGGTAATTAATATTATAAGATACAATGTGTGGGAATTACTGTATGAAACACAATGTTAATGAAGGAAAGTGTGAAACACAACATATAAAATTTTATATGCCAAACAAAATAAAATTTAAAATTTTTTAAAAGGTATTTGCAATGAATAAATCATTAAATGTACAAAATTTGCGAGGGAGGGGGAAGTAACAAAAAAACAAAACCCCCACAAACCCTCGGACTACCCTCAAACTGACTTTAACACACAGCAGCCTTCCACTGGCATTCAGAGGTCACCTGGTTCAGCCGAGGAGCGGCTGGTGACCTTGATCCATCAACTTTTCAGTTAGCAGCACAAAAGGTAATCGACAGCCAAGAAAATTCTACGGAGCAATTCGACTATGAAATTCACAAAACTGCTGGCTTTTGTTTCCTTGCTTTATTTTTGTACGAGTTTGATTGAAAGAATGGTAGCTTATTGGTAAGGAATTGCGCAGCCACGGCTGGACCCGGG